AATGATGATCAAATGATAGATGGAGTCGATCGCTTCCATCAACACATCCTAAGCTTGTACAGTCCTATACCACTTTCAGGGTCGACATTTCATTCGGGAACGTTAGGCAGTTTGATTTACATGCTGTTTAATGCTTGATGATTGCATTATTTTACGTATGCATCAGCTTACATACGTGATCGCTTGTTTCTACTTCTTCGCTGTTTTTTGATCCAGACGTTCAATACTCTTTCAGAAGATGGAAGATTGGTCATTTGGAAGGGCTCCTATGGCTCCATAGGCCTCCGCTGAAGCCTGGGACCGTCCTATTCCACGTTCCTCAGACCGGCTGCCTCGTGTCAGGCAGCATCTGAGAAGAGAAGGTCCCGGATCAGATGAACAGCGGTCATTTGGAAGGGCTCCTATGGCTCCATAGGCCTCCGCTGAAGCCTGGGACCGTCCTATTCCACGTTCCTCAGACCGGCTGCCTCGTGTCAGGCAGCATCTGAGAAGAGAAGGTCCCGGATCAGATGAACAGCGAGAATCTAGACGAGACAAGCTCCTTATCTCATTTAATAAGATAAAAGCCAAACCGCACACACACACACACACCACAGATGGGTGACAGGCTGTGCCGAAACCGCTCTCACACACCTGCTCCTTCATACACAGACTTACACATGCATACATAGAAAAATGTACACACAAATGCACATTGAAAAACAGCTTGCTTTTAATGAAATAACCTCACAGATGAGTTTACGTTTGCTGAGCTGCTCCCCAAAGCTCTTCATGTGTAAGTGCAGACAGATGTTTGTCTCGGCTGACTCTGTAACTCCCGAGCATCCGTAACAGCCCAGTACCGCACGTATACGGATGTCCTCGAGCTATGAGATATTTCTCATCATCGTGACACTGAGCTCAGAATGAGAAATAAATAATTAGAGCCGAAAGAAAGCCGGAGAATGATGACTATTGGCTGATAAATGAGTGCGGAGAGCCGCGGAGTGAGAAGGCGGAGGGGATTAGGGCGCTTTGGAACACTTTAAGAGCATTATGGATTAAAAAAAGGTCAGAATGTTTAGCAACATAATGCTAAACCTCTTAAGCGAAACCCAACTGCATGCTAAACGGGGACGGAGGGAGGGGGCGATGAAAAAGAGGCTGTATGGGGTTTAACATCTGTTTGGGTCAGAAAAAGAGAGACATGTTTGAAAGACGCAGAGAGATCCGTTTTATAGGCACAAGCATACACGCACCTAAAGTCATTATACATTATAATAAAAAGAACGTGTATGGACATCTACTCGCTCGTAATCATTAAACTTGATGCAACGTGCACCAAATTTCATTTGACAGCTGCAGCGGATGGAAAGACTGTGAGTGAATCAAATTGTTGAGAAGAACATAATTTTAAAAGAAAAGAACACTACTCCTCACACAAAGCTGTCATTATGACTTGAGAAGAGTTATGATTTAAATGGCCAACTTTTATAAAATGAATAAGCAGCTCTTTTAGAAAAAAAAGACACACACACACACACTGAGCTCGGGTCAGCACAGAACAGCTGGTCTTTAGACTCTGACCTGTGTCTGCACTTCTTCGTCGAGATGTTTGTTGTGTTTGTGTACATTTATGCTCCGATGTTTGCTTGTTTTTAGGACTACGGAGGATTTTGGGAAAAGCTTATTGGATCCTCTAATCATGTTCTGAGGTTATTTATTGCGGTAGCACTAAAGGATCATAGCGCTAAGTGCATAAACACACACATGCATGCATTTCGCCCCAGTTTCTAGTGGATAAACTCATGCGATGCCTGTGTAAAAATTTCTTCACTTGTCCAGCTGTCACGATTGACAGTTCACTAACCCTCCGTGACCTCAGATGACTGTCCGACCCACTGCACCACACACACACTCATGACATCATTGAGCATCTGTGTGCTCCAACTACACAATGCACAAAGAACAGCAAGGCAAGCAGCTCAGGGGGCGGGGTTTGGATCGGAACCCCCATATGTCATTGGCCCGTGCAGTCGGTTTCCAGCTCTGTGATTGGCTGGAAAAGGAACCCCCACCTTCCACATGCAAGCATGTTAGGTTTCTCGCTCTGTGACTGGAGGTCAAAGTGTATGTATGTTCATGTATCAGCGTGTCTTCTGTCTGTTATTCTGTTTGTTCTCCTCTATTAGTTGTCTGTTCGCTCTGTTCTCTTTGTCTAGATGTATGTTGTGTACTCCTCTCTTCTCTTCACTTTCCTTGGCAACAGATCCTGTCTGCCTTCCCCCTCCTGATTCTCTCTCCCGGCTTTTTTGGCAGAACCTTCTGTTCCCAGACCTCCTTTGGGCTCTTTCTCTTTGTATCACTTTCTTTCTCTTTCTGTGGCACAAAGAGGCATTTTTATATCACATAATTTTAAAAAGAACACTACTCCTCACACAAAGCTGTCATTATGACTTGAGAAGAGTTATGATTTAAATGGCCAACTTTTATAAAATGAATAAGCAGCTCTTTTAGAAAAAAAAGATTTTCAAAAAAATAATAATACATAAGATGGGAAGTCAAAGAGATGACATGCTTGGACTGACATGAGAGTGAGTAAATAATGTTCACTGTACTTCACCATTTTTGGATGACACTGAAGTCACACCTTCTAAAGGTTATTCTGTCTGTGAAAATGAAAAATTCTCTTCTTTCGAATTCAAATGGTAGCTGTTGCTCATCTCGCGGAAAATCTCCAAAACTCATTGAGACTGAATGACTTATGGACTCTTTGTGGCAGCGCTTTTACTCTTAGTCTGAGCGTCGGTGAGCTCAAACAGGACTTGGGATGCTGTATGCCATGTGAAACACAACCTACTGTACACATTTTCCAGCCTTGTTCATGGGTTTGGGCCTATGTTTATCTGTGTGTGTGTGTGTGTGTGTGTCGTCAGCTAGCAGGAATATACATAAGATGGGAAGTCAAAGAGATGACATGCTTGGACTGACATGAGAGTGAGTAAATAATGTTCACTGTACTTCACCATTTTTGGATGACACTGAAGTCACACCTTCTAAAGGTTATTCTGTCTGTGAAAATGAAAAATTCTCATGTCGCTCTAAACAAGTAACTTTTTCTATGGAACAAAATGTCTATGAAATGAAAATGCATGAGAATAACTGCCTATGAAATTTAGTAGCACATTTGCTTGTTTTACACTACTGTTCAAAAATGTAAGTTCTATTCTATTCAATTCAATTCAACTTTATTTGTTTAGAGCTTTTCACGAAGTTTCTACAATATATTTAGTAGTTTCTATTCTATTGTATTCTAAAAGCAAATCAAGATAACATTTTACCTAAAATAACAGAAACAAAAATTAAAAATTTTTGCAAAAAGAAAGTTGTACACACAGTGGGGTCAGTAATTATTTTTTAAAAGAAATGAATACTTTTATTAAGCAAGGGCACATTACATTGATCAAAAGTGACAATGACAAAAGATTTCCATTTCAAATAAATGCTGTTCTTTTGAACTTTCTATTTATCAGAGAATCCTGAAAAAAATGTATCACTGTTTTCAACATTGATAATAATCAGAAATGTTTCTTGAGCAAATCAGTATATTAGAATGATTTCTGAAGGATCATGTGACACTGAAGACTGGAGGAATGATGCTGAAAATTCAGCTTTGATCACAGCAATAAATTACATTTTAAAATGCTCAAATAGAAAAAAAGTTATTTTTATTTGTAATAATAAAGTAAGGTTGGGGGTTTTAATGACCTAACACATTACAGAAGTAGTTAAGAAGTAGTTAAAATAGTATTTTCCCCTTTTGGTTGTCTTTTCTCACCTACTAGAGCACACTTGGAGAGTCAGGACTGGTAGCGATGCCCCTTCAGAAACAATAGGAGCATGAAGCTGCTCTAGATGAACAGTACATATAGTATGAATATGTTTTTGGTAATTTGTGTGTTGGTGAAATCAGTTACAGTGTTTACAGTCTCCACCAATCTGTGTGTGTATATGTAACTTTTGACACTGTATCAAAAGATCACAAAGTTCACAAGTTCTGTCATTATTTGCTTACAAACATGTACAACTTTCTTCCCTACATGGAACACAAAAGGTGAAATTTTGAAGAACATCCCAGCTGCTCTTTTTTTTAAATATTGATAATTGAAAGTGTGACAGCAGCTGCCAAGCTCCAAAATGACAAATATTTGATGCTTTTGAAAGAGTAACAGCAGCCTGGGCTTCTTTCGAATTCAAATGGTAGCTGTTGCTCATCTCGCGGAAAATCTCCAAAACTCATTGAGACTGAATGACTTATGGACTCTTTGTGGCAGCGCTTTTACTCTTAGTCTGAGCGTCGGTGAGCTCAAACAGGACTTGGGATGCTGTATGCCATGTGAAACACAACCTACTGTACACATTTTCCAGCCTTGTTCATGGGTTTGGGCCTATGTTTATCTGTGTGTGTGTGTGTGTGTGTGTCGTCAGCTAGCAGGAATGTGTGTGCACCGCCAATACTAAGATGGCTGCCAAAGACTAAAATGGCTGCCAGGACTCCAGAAAAAGAGAAAGAGAAAGCGAGAGAGAGAGATGGAGACAACACGCTAAATGTAGAGAAAAAAGAAACCGTCTTGCTATTTCTCCTCTGTTCAGACTGCTGTTCTTTTGTTTGTGCGAGTGTATTTGTCCTAATCTCTACACACTCTATCAAATCATGCTGGCATGAGCCAGTGTGTTCCCTTATCACCTACAGCCGCCCGATAAACACCTTCACAAACACACATGCACACGCAGCCTGCCATAAACTGTGCTGATAATGCACACTTTCATGCATATGTACTCAGACACTCGTTTCTCATTCTCTCTCTCTCTCGTGTTCACACGGCTCGACAATATCTGCTCGCAGTGTTGTTGTATCCAAGTGCCTAAACATCACTGAACAATCCAATTCCAACAGTAGTAATTGAATAAGAGCCATTTTCTGCCATTTATATGCATCTTTTCTCTGTTTCTCAATGCAGAATCTGGGCAATCAGACAATTCCAATCAACAAGGAGAGTCGGACATCAAACCCCCACCAAACGGTGAGAAAAATATAGCACACGGACTTATACACAACACCTTCACAAACACACATGCATACGCAGCCTGCCATAAACTGTGCTGATAATGCACACTTTCATGCATATGTACTCAGACACTCGTTTCTCATTCTCTCTCTCTCTCGTGTTCACACGGCTCGACAATATCTGCTCGCAGTGTTGTTGTATCCAAGTGCCTAAACATCACTGAACAATCCAATTCCAACAGTAGTAATTGAATAAGAGCCATTTTCTGCCATTTATATGCATCTTTTCTCTGTTTCTCAATGCAGAATCTGGGCAATCAGACAATTCCAATCAACAAGGAGAGTCGGACATCAAACCCCCACCAAACGGTGAGAAAAATATAGCACACGGACTTATACACTGTAATACCATGCAAAAGTTTGAAGTCTGTAAGATGTTTTTAAAAAATAATATTACAATTAAAAATAAATGTTTTCTGTTTGTATGTATTTTCAAATGTAATTTATTCCTGTGATGCAAAGCTGAATTTTCAGCATCATTACTCCAGTCTTCAGTGTCACATGATCCTTCAGAAATCAGTTTAATATGCTGATTTGCTGCTCAAGAAACATTTCTTATTATTATCAATGTTGAAAACATTATTCTTTAATGAATAGGAAGTTCAGAAAGAACAGCATATTATTTTAAGTAGAAATCTTTTGTAATATTATATGTTTTTACATCATTTTTGATTAATTTAATGCATCCATGGTGAATATTAATTTCTTTCTAAAAAAGAAAAAGAAAAATCTTACTGACCTCCTACTTGAGTACAGCAATCACACAAGCAAGAGTTTTAGACTACAATTAACTGTCTGAAATACAAGATACTTGTTATTATTGTCTTTGTATAAATTACGCATTTGATTTTGATGCTGGATGCATGTGGTACTGGTCTCTTATCACACAGCCCAGATATCAGTTGGGTGAGGAATGTGAATTTGTATTGTTTCTGCAGGACATCTGAGTTTTCAGGACTGCTTTGTGACTTCAGGGGTGTGGAACGTAGCCGAGCTGGTACGAGTGTCTCAGAGTAAGTACTGTAACACATGCTAGTGTTTTCTTAAATGAACAGCACACTGCAAAAAACAGCAACATTTTTTGCTTTGCCCAATTCATGATCAAATCGCTTAATTGTTGAATTCTTATTAATGAATCAGTGGAACAGGTTGGTAAACAGACCAAATCAAACAGAGGACTCACCCGCTCACTGAAGTTATTATGGCTGACTCAAATTGCTAATTTGATATTCTGATTTGTTAGGTTACTGTTTCTTAATCAGCCTAAGAGTTTCGTAGTTTTTTCCAAAGTTCAAACTTCAACATGTTTGTCTCTTCCGCAGCCCCTGTTGCAACAGCGTCAGGTCCTAATTTCTCTCTTGGGGATCTGGAAAGTCCCGGTTACTACAATATCAACCAAGTAGCACTCAGCAGACGTTCACTTGCCTCTCCTCCATCCACAAGGTGAACACACATACACCCATAGCCTGCTCTTCATGCCCGTTTCAGTCTCTCTTCAGTGGAAATTTGATCTGTCTTGCTCTCCTTTTTGTCCTTCCTTCTGTTTCCCCTTTGTCTGTTGTTCTTCTTGCTCTGTAGGTCTGAGGTGGAGCTGTACGCCAGTCTTCCTCGGAGGTCTGTCACAATCTTCTGTATTTCTGCACTTTTTCTGTTTTTCTCTCTATCTGTCTACAGGAATCTGTCACAGGGATATTGATTAACCCCTGTCTTGGTCTCTCTGTCTCTCTCTGTAGCTCTAATAAGCGTAAGTCTATAGATGACAGTGAGATGGAGAGTCCTGTCGATGACGTGTTCTACAGTCGTTCTCCAGCCGGCACCAGCTCCCAGTCCAGCGGCTGGCCGAATGATGTCGATGCAGGTGAGCATCACATGTACATATGAATGTGCCTTTTACACTGAAATGGTGCTGATACCGGAGTCTGGTCTCGGCTGTGGGATCTGTGATACTGTAGCAGTCATCTTAAAAAAAAACAGCCTACATTTCTACTGACCTGAGAGCTGATCAAAGACATAAATGACTATGGTACAACATAAAATATCCATAAACATATGGTGTTCAAAACAGGGTCCCAACAACTGCTTAAAGGAATTGTTCACCCAAAATTGAAAATGTACTTACCCTCAGGCCATCCAAGAGGTATATGAGTTTATTTCTTCACTGGAACAGATTTGGAGAAATTTAGCATTACATCACTTGCTCAGCAATGGATCCTCTGCAGTGAATGGGTGCCATCAGAATGAGTCCAAACAGCTGATAAAAACATCACAATAATCCACACCACTCCAGTCCATCAATTAACATCTTATGAAGGGAAAAGCATGTTTGTTGGAAAGAAATCCATCATTAATGTGTTTTAAACCATTGCTTCTGACCAAAATTTGAGTCCGTAATTGGATGAGCTGAGTGTGAATTTTCAGCAAATTTTCATTTTTGGGTGATCTATTCCTTTAAAAAGTCTTAAAATGTCCTAAATTTAGTTTTATCAAAATTAAGGCCACAAAAGTCTTAAATGATATAGCAGGAGTCATTTAAGAGGTCTTAAATTTGGGGAATTGAACTATTAAACTGCAAGTTCAAAGTCAAAACTTGGCACTGTTGTGCATTCTGCAGGATTGCGGTTACAGGGCTTTTTGGGTGATCTATTCCTTTAAAAAGTTTTAAAATGTCCTAAATTTAGTTTTATCAAAATTAAGGCCACAAAAGTCTTAAATGATATAGCAGGAGTCATTTAAGAGGTCTTAAATTTGGGGAATTGAACTATTAAACTGCAAGTTCAAAGTCAAAACTTGGCACTGTTGTGCATTCTGCAGGATTGCGGTTACAGGGCAGTTTGCAATCAATGAATACCACATACTTATGCCAATAGATTGTTTATGATCTACTGTTGATGAGTTATGACAATGTTTACTTTATTTTGCTTATAATATGTTGTAGATTAAATAGTAGCTGGAATTAGCAAATCATAGACATTTCAAAATAAGAGTCTCAGTGTATTTCAGGCTACTTTATCATTTTAAAAGTCCAGCATTATGGATGTAATCTTTTTTAATTCAATGTAAACTTTTGTAGCTGCTTTATGGGCCATCCCGTCACAGGACGGAAAGACTAAGAACAGGTTTCTAAAGACATAAATTTGATTTTAAAAACCATGCAAGAACTGTTATTGAAACCAAATGTCATTCAATAAATGAAATATAACATGGAAAAAAATATGCAGTAAATTAGGGCTGCACGATAAATCGCATGCGATTGTCATGCGCATCTCGTCAGTAAAGCCGGTTCTGTGATTAGTAGTAAATCTCCATCACATGCTTTCAGATGGAGCGGCATTTAATACACAGTTTATATTTAATATTAAACTGACAAGCTACGCAATATCGCGTTCATAATTGAAGGCGATTCATCTGCGATTATGAACGCGATATTGCGTAGCTTGTCAGTGATCTACGGCTCTGTGTATTAAATGCCGCTCCATCTGAAAGCATGTGATGGAGATTTACTACTAATCACAGAACCGGCTTTACTGACGAGATGCGCATGACATCGCATGCGATTTATCGTGCAGCACTAATACAGTTCTATGATCCCAATTAATTATTCTGTAATAGGAGAGATATTGGCATGGCAGGCACTGATGCTAGTGGTTTCTGATATAAGACCATCGAGAAGCCAGTTTAAGGTGTCTAAAATTGAAACTGAAATCTTTCTTCAGTAGAAATGTGTTGAATGGGGCCAGACTGGGTATCAGTTTCATATCGGTGCAAAAGGGATAAGGGATGTTCATGATCTCAACACAATGTTTTCCCCTTCTTCCTCTCTCCTCTCGTGTTAATAATTCCCTTCTCCAGTTGCAGTGCAGCACCATTTGACGAGTGTTCAAGAGAGGAAGATAAAACATGAGAATGATGGTGTGCAGTTTCCTTACCATGGTTAGAATACATACTACACACACTTACACATGTGCACAAGTAGTGGGAGTAGACAGGTTAGTGTCAGGGCAGTAGGGCATCAGATGTTGACTGTGTGTTGCTTGTTTAGTCTGTTTTTCACCCACATTGTTGATAACCTTTTTTGTTTAACGTCATTAAAGTTATTTTTAATGATAATTCTCAGTATTATTCATTATAATATGAAAGGATTAGTGTCAACAATGGGTGCTTTTTAGTGTTAGACACTAATTATGTTAGACACTAAACTAAATTATCGCTGTGGTCACAATCAGCTAGTAGTGTTGGAAGAGCCCAGATGGGAAAAGCAACATACACGCAAACAAACACTGAGAAAATGCACTACACAGGTGCACCTTCTGTCCACGCATTAGCCACACACACACACATATACACACGTACACACTCTCAGTCTGTGTTCTGGTCCCAGATGGCGCTTCCGTGTATCTACAGTAGTGGGAGGCATCTGCTCTGCATTTGTGTGTGAATGTCATAATCAGAAAGCAATGCTTTTCATTTCAAACCTTTTGAAAGTTTTTAAGAAAAGGGCTTTTTAAGTGGTTAATTTTTTTTATTTTTTTTATTTACATTTATGCAGAGGTTTCCAGCACCAGAAGTATCATTTTGTTTTGCACAATAATTTTTTCCCGCCTTCCTCTGACCCTTACACTATGTTAACCAGTGGGTTATGCATAATCCAGAATTGAATAATCCAGTTTACAGTTAATATACAGTTTATATGATAAACTACCGTTCAAAATAATTTTTTTTTTCTACAGAAATTAATAGTTTTATTCAGCAAGGATGCATTAAATTGACCAAAAAGCGACAGTAAAGACATTTATAATGTTACAAAAGATTTTCATTTCAAATAAATGCTGTTTTTTTGAATTTTGAAAAAAAAAAAAAATCAAATGTATCATGGTTTCCACAAAATATAAAGCGGCACAACTGTTTTTAACATTGATGATGATAAATGGTTTGTGAGCAGCCAATCAGCATATTAGAATGATTTCTGAAGAATCCTGTGACTCTGAAGACTGGAGTAATGATGCTGTAAATTCAGCTTTAGCCACAGTAATAATACATTGTAAAATATATTCAAATAGAAAACAGTAAAATTTAAATTGTAATAATAGTTCACAATATTACTATTTCTGAAGAATCCTGTGACTCTGAAGACTGGAGTAATGATGCTGTAAATTCAGCTTTAGCCACAGGAATAAATTACATTGTAAAATATATTCAAATAGAAAACAGTAAAATTTAAATTGTAATAATAGTTCACAATATTACTGTTTTTACTGTATTTTTGATCAAATAAATGCAGCCTTGGTAAGTGTAAGAGACTTCTTTCAAAAACATAAAAAAATCGAATGAATTAATAAATGGGAATTTAAGAGCACTATTAATTTCAAACATGCCAGATGTTGTCAGAGGGTCCCAAACATATATGTACAGTAAATAAAGCTTAAAAATGAACTAGCTGGTATTCATAGAAGTTTTCATAAATGTTTTGCACTGAGAATCTTTGAATATATTATTTTTTATAGTACATCAAATTCTTATTTCAAAAGAAGCAGGAGGCGAGAGTGTGTTGTGTGCATGTGTACACATTTTGTGATAAATATACATATACAGACTTAACACTTTCACACGCATTTGCACACTCCCACACACACGGGTGTTCTCTCTGGCACACACACGCGTATACACACATGTGAGAACAAATGCACTCGAAAGTGAACTGAGAAAGGGGAATTAAGCTGAAATGGGATTTAATGCCTTGTAATGTAGAGAGGAAAAAATAGCATCAAACTGAAGTGAAGTTTAAGCGTGTGTCTGTATGAGTAACACTGAGCAATGGGGGCCAGGAGGACTCTGGTTATCTTCCAATTATGAGCCATCCCTGCTCTGTTATCACTTTCTCCTGCAATTTCTCACCTTTTCATGTTATTTTCATCTCTCTTTCATCGTTCTGGTGATGAATTGAACCAGTTGAGGTGTTGCTAATTTAATAGTTAAGGAACACTTACAGAAGACTACGGTTGGGTGGTATGATGCTACATAATGCACATTTTGCGACGGTAGAAATGTGTCAACGTTTGTACAGCTTCAGGCTATTTGTGGACAGGACTGCTTTACGTTATTTACACATTAAGGGCGGCAAAGAAACGTGGAGGAATGTGAAAATACAAATCGGAACGTGACCTAAACAAGTTAAGACGAGGAATAACTCGTTTTTTAAAGGCTGAGTTTAGTTGTTTACGCTTGGCAAGCAATGTCGCAACTTGTTCACAGGTGTGTGAATATCGGATATTTTGCAATGTGGTTCATCCAATCAGATTTTAGAGTCAGAACTCTCAGTTTGATAATATTAATTACACTGTTTTCAGAGTGTTTTGTAATGTGAAGCTGTTTTTGCACTGATAAAACTTTTTTAAATGAAAAATCTTTGATTCATTATTATAAAATCATTGTTATTAGGTATTACTTTAAATATTGAAAATATTAGAACTTGTAGAACTCAAGTTCCAAATAAATAGGGAAAATAATAAAATATTTTGAAGTATCTTTTGTTTTATTTACTAGATTATTCGAAAATTGACATTAGCAAATAGTAATTAAAATATAAAAAATGGTAAAGTTATAGCAAAAATATCAATTATTATTAATATTTTTATTTAAAAAATATAAGAACTCTTTGATCAAGTTCCAAAGAACTGGAGAACATAATCTAATATGAAGTATCTTTTATTTAATTCACTGGATTATCCAAAAATGACCTAATATAAAAATATAAACTATGTAAAATATAAACTTTTTTTGTTGTTAAAATTCTAGCAAAAATTACCAGTACATACTGAATCCCTTCAAAACCCAACAATGATCATTTAAGGAGTAGTTGAGTTAGTTAGTTGAGCTGGTCAGCGAGTGTTTGATTGGTGTGTGCTGTGCCCTGCTGCTGTTGTTGTTGTTGACGTGTGGTTTCTGGCAGGGCTGTCCTCTCCTGGGTCTCTAAAGAAGCCAGCGGGGAAATTCGATTTCAGCGCCCTGTCAGCACAGACGAGGTCCCCCCGAATGGCCTTCACACACCACCCGCTGCCCATGCTGGCAGGCGTGAGACCAGGTGAGACAGACACACTCCAGCAGGGAGAGAGAGAGACAGAACGGAGGGGGAAAGGAGGGATTTAAGTATTAGATTGCAGCGTAGGCTTCTGATTGGTCCAAAAGTCCCATTATGGCACCACACTAGTCCAAAATTGCCCTCAGTGGCATTTGATTGGCTCTAAACAGTGGCAAGTTATTGATGAAGGCCTCTGATTGGCTGGGCAGAGAGACAGAGAGAGTAAGGAGCTGCCATAGTTCATGAACGACACCATCCATCCACGTTCCCTCTTGCTCTCCATCTTTTCCTCTCTTCTCTCATCATTTCATCCACAGCTTTTACCTCCATTTCTCAAGTGTGTTTTTCTGGATGGTTTCTCATGTTTCTTCGAATGTGTGACCTACATTTTTATTACATTTCATCATAGAAGATATCATGTAGAAGATGTTCTGTGAAATCCTGTGCACATACAGTGGAGTTTGAAACTCTTGTTTGGGTTAAAGAATCGATTCTTATCTATTCTTCTATCTTATCTATTGAATTTTGGTTCTCTTTAACAGTTGATGAATGGACGAAGTGTGGACGAAAACCATACTAAAATACTCTGACAGTGTTTCTCGAACCACTGTTTAGCTGTATTTGCTACTAAAATCTGTGTAGCCTTATGAGTGACTCTTATGAGTCGGTTCTTTTTAGTGAATCAAAAAAATCAATTCTGAATTGCAAGTTATTAATTAATTGTCTCTGACTCCACAATACACCGAAGAATATGGTTATGTTGTTCTTAAGGTTTTTAAGACTATTTTTTGTTTTATTTCAGTTAGCGTTAAACTATAAACTCAAGCCTTTTGCAAGAATCATATAAAATTATTTCTGATTTATGTCTGTTCTGTTGAAATCTTAAATGATCTGATAATTTGGCAACAAGCTGCTGAGGGCAGTAAATGCAGGAAGAACCGTTTTTATTTTTCCACAAAAATTTACTGTTCAGAATTCCTAAAAAGAATCAATAATGAAGCGGAATTGTTAAAAGAATCAAATTGGAACCAGAATCCCTACTAAACATATTCGCTGTAATGTGACATTTTCCTCCATTCCCAGGACACTCGTACTGCTCTTTGTGATGAACGGTGCTCGTTTAACAATTAAACAACAGTGTGCAGAGCTCTCATCTGAATGTCAGAGACGCGATTCGCTCATTTCGTTCTCATTTCAAACATTCTCATTTCAACTTCCTTGTGAATTACCAGAGACTATTTGCGGTTGAAGAAAAGAGAAGAGGGACGGAGACGCAAACGGGGGAAGCCATGAGGGAACGTTTAGAAAGCTTCCCAATGCGTAACAGATGCGTGACCAAGAGAATCATATATAAAAACTACGTTTTGCTCTCTCCGTTTTTTAAAATTAGCCAGCGAGCATGTTGCTTGTTATTCAGTCATGCTGTCATTCATGTTGGCACAGGACAAAATGTGAAGGAGAGCATGTGTATGTGGGGGTGATGATGGGGGGGTGCTCTTATCGGGCTCTTCTTGGCAGGCGCATTCGGAGCGCCATGAAAATCCCGTCAGTAAAACGATGATATTCAGAGGCATTACGGCCGCAGTCTCGCAGGCCGCTCAAAACGTCTCCATTCCCACACAAAGGAAAGCGATTCAGAGCTCCCTCCCGTGTTCTCCCTGACGGGACGTTTAATCCCATCCGATGGCCCTGGGAAAAGCTCAGAATTGCTATCCGTTCGGGTCCGGCTGCAGCCGGCGAGCCCTAATCAAGTAAAGGTCAGCGGGACAGAGAGCGGAGGCTTTAAATGGATTATACGTGCGTGTGACTATGGAAGTTTTTCTCCGGCAGACGCTTCTGGTTAGAATGTTTATGTAGAGTCGAGACAGTGGAAAAAGCAAGGTTTGCGTTAGGCCGGGAGACGAGGGCAGACTGCATGCACATGAGAAAGACCATCTCGCTGCCGTTTCTAATGCGTTTGTGTGAGATATGGATGGATGTTGGCTGCTGTTGTGAAAGAGATACTGTGGTTTGCTTTTGTGAGTGATGAATAACTCTTGTGGAGATTGAGAAGATACCGTTTTTGTTTGTGTGTGTGAAGGCGTTTATGAGTACGTTTGCGCGCGCGTGTGTGCGTGTGTGTGTGTGTGTGTGTGTGTGTGTTTGTTGGCACCCCATACCGCCTGTCCCCTGCCCAGTACCTAATGAGATTAAGAAGCACCAAAAAAAAAAGAAAAAGAGGGAGTTGGAGATAGACAAAAAAGAAGGACAGGATGAGATAGATAAAGAGGAAAAAGAGTATAGTGAAAATGGCATTTAAAGAAACAGTTCAGCTAAAAATGAAAATTGTGTCATTTACTCATTCTCATATTGTTCCAAACCTGTGTATGACTTATGTGGATTACAAAAATAGATGTTAAGCAGAATGTCCAAGCTGCTCTTTTTCATACAGTAGAAGTGAATGGGGACTGGAGCTATCAGGGTGCACAAATGACAAAAGAAAAAGGCACTATTAATGTAGTCCATTCTTCTGAAAACACACACTACTGCTCAAAAGTTTGGGGTCAGTTTTATTCAGCAAGGATGCATTAGATTCATTAAACGTGACAGTAAAATAATTTACCAAAGATTTGATTCAAATAAAATACTGTTCTTTTGAACTTTCTTTTCATCAAAAAATCCTGGGGGAAAAAAAAAACAGTTTCCACAAAAATATGAAGCAGCATAACGGTTTTCAACACTGATAATAATAAGAAATGTTTCTTGAGCAGCAAATCAGCATATTAGACTGATTTCTGAAGTATCATGTGACACTGAAGACTAGAGTAATGATGCTGAAAATTCCGCTTTGCATCTCAGGAATAAATTACGGTTTAAAATATATTCAAATAGAAAAAAAGCTCATTCAAATTGTAATAATATTTCACAATATTACAGTTTTTACTGTATTTTTGAGCAAAAAATTACAGCCTTGGTGAGCAGAAGAGACTTCTTTTCAAAAACATTTTAAAAATCTTACTGACCCCAGACTATTTAATTAGTCAATTTTTTTATTAAACATTAAATTGAGTCTTTAAGGAGGTTTCCTTTAAAAAGTCAGTTCAGTATGAGTTCAGAAGTCTTAAAATGTAGCACATGAGTCATATGAATGACTTTTATGGCACTTTTTCTTTCTTTTTGGAGCCCCAATCCCAATTCACATTCATTATATGGAAAATACCTGTGTAAATGAGGATGAATAAATGTAAAAAAATTTAATAATGTCAAAATGTTACTTTTTTTGTGAGCTATTCTATTAAGGTTAGGACATCATTTAAAGAGAGACAAAGTAGAATAATTTAGGTTTATATGAGCACACACAAATTCTAATATCTCTAATAGTACAATACACTGTGTCTCTCACACACTTTACTTACTCTTTCTCTCTCTCTTTTTCAGGGAGTCCGCGTGCCTCAGCCTCTGCCCTTCATTTTCCTGCTCCCTCCATCATCCAGCAGTCCAGTCCATACTTCACCCACCCCACCATCCGCTATCACCACCATCAGGACCCGCTCAAAGAGTTCGTCCAGTTCGTCTGTGCTGACGGCTCGGGGCAGCCGGGGGCACAGGTAGTGCACACACACACACACACACACACCATCCTGATTCACACAGCACCAGTGGACATACACACACACATACGCTGACACACATCTCTGCTAAAGTCCCTCTCTCTTACTCCTCTCTTCCTTTCTCTTTCTCTTCATTATCTAACACTTGACAGTCTCCGTTTATCTTGATTTGATTTCAGTTTCATCGCCTCATTTGTTATACAAAGTGTCATGAAACACTAAAACACTCTTTTGAAACCGATATGGTAGTGTCTACAATGATTGCATGTTATGTTTTTCTTCCTCTGGGTTTAAAATCAAAGATTCATCGTATGGATATGATGTAGATCTGTATCTTGAAAATGATCTGAAAAGTGGTGCAGGACACATTATAAGCCATATAAGTGTCTAGTCATTCCTTATGTTAAATTATATTATTTTCCAAAAATAAGGGGAAACTTAATTCATGAAAATCACAAGAATTAACAAGAATGGAAATGTTATGTACGTCATATTAACTACTATTATGATGCTTTTATGTCCTTTTTGTAGCTTCGCAGCCCCAGTCCCTATTTACTTTCATAGTATGGATTATTGAAAATAAATATGTAATTCAAATACGATAACATGATAATTTTTCCATGAAAAAGAAAAAAATAAAAATAAAAAATAATGCAGTAGCATGATTAACTGTGGAGACTGAAATCAAATTTTATGAGCGCTTTAGCAAAAAGTCCGTTAGTGAAATAGGTGTGTTTGCTGTTCCCTTTGCTTTTGCATTTTTCGAAACCGATCTGAAATAAAATGTCATTTTTCATGACACTTTAGTAACTCTGTGTATGTTTATTAATTTTTGAATGTATTTGTACGTTTGTAACATTCCAATCTCACCCTTTGTGATTATACGCCTCCACATGTATCTGTGTGTGTGTGAGTGTGTGTGTGCGCGTGTGCCTCTTTCACCCCCTCACCATCTGTATGTGTGTGTGTGTGTATCTGCAGCCTAACGGGAGCGGTCAGAACAAACTGCCCGGCTCCTTCTTACTGCCACCTCCTCCTCCTCCGGTAGCGCGGCCGGTGCCGATGCCCCTCCCCCTGCCCGAGCACAAACCCAGCCACACACACCCCGAGAGCGGAGTCGGCTCCCCGGCCTCGCCCTGTAAGTGTCCGCTCAAGCACCAGACCCAACAGAGCCCTCGAAAACGCCTCATTACCGCTGCATCAACTCTTTGAGTGATAGAACCACGACTTTTGACCATTAGGCCCGAAACATACCCTACGCAAGTACGCAAATAGTTCTAGCTGCGTTTCAAAATGTATCGTGGGCATTTGTGTAAAAATATCTTTTACGGTCAGTTTTCTCAAAGTTATTTGAGGTAGTTAAACTACTGACATTTTTATATTTAGCTGGATAATAAAACAACCGGCTTTTTTAAAGGAAACTCTCGTGCCACCTTGAGTACCCAAATTTGTTGACGCCACAATAACACACTAATAATATGTAAAAGATCATGCATTCCTGTTTGCATACTTGCGTGAAGTATATTTCTGGCTTTAGATGCCCTGCTCTTCTCCATACGACTTTTTTCTTTGTTCATTTTTCTCATTCTATTCCCTTTTCATCCTGCTTTTTCATTTATTTATCCGATTGCAATCAGTCACTGACTTTTGCAATTGAATGGAGATGGAGACACTCCGCTGCCTCTCATTGGCTGAAACCAAGCAAGAACATCAGCCAATCATTCCCATAGATCAGCCTCCATCCTCATCACTCTCACTTTTCATTTTCCTTTCTTTCTTTTCTTCCTTCAAGAGATCAAATTCAGGGCAGCTGGCATGGACTCCAAACAAACAAACAAAAAATGACGCCCCACATTCAGCGAGAGCGCCTTTCCATTGACACTTCAAGCTAAATACAAAAAGGAAATGTGTGTAGACGTGCAGGTGAAGGGATTTGTAATGTGTCTGGCAGTGTGTGAGAGCGGCGGCACTGGGTTGTGGGTCTTTGCTTGGGATGTGTGTGTGTTGGGTGCTGTCAGCAGGGCGGGTGGGCAGAAGGAGGAGCCTGGTTGAGCAAACCTTTGAGAAGATCACCCCTTCCTTTTTTTTCCATTCTCACTTGTGAATGTTCCATTTCTTTCTGTGTTTTTCTCATTCGTTCATTTCATATCTATGGAATGGTGTATCGGTCTCAACCTGTTGTAGTATCCCTCCATTTTTTACCTTCCATCTTTCGGTGCTTTTACACACAGCAGCAGCCTTTTTCAGTCATATTAAGAAAATCACATGCACACAAACACATTTAAACACTTCTGCAAACATATAAATGCTCCTCATATCCCATGGAGTCCACTCCGCAAAACTGCCCTGAATTTGAAATTTGAATTTGAAAGTGAATTCAAAAAGGTTTGAATTTTATTTTACATTTTGGCGTTTTCAACTAAAAGTCTGATTTTTTTTCTCAGTTCAAATTACCCCCTCCCCAACCCCTGCACAACTGCCCTGAATTTAATATTTGAATATAAAATTGAATTTAAAAATGTTTGAATTTTTAAAATTGTCGTTTTTTTTTTTGTTCAAATTCTCCCTCCCACACCTGCACAACTTTTACCTGAACAATATTTTCTTCAAATCCTTGATCCCAAACTGCAGTTTAATCTTCATTGCATCAATAAATGGCACCAGCCATTTATTGAAACGCAAATGTGTGAGCTCATACTGAGCATGCAAATTTAGTTATTATAGTACTCCAAGGAAAGTAATCCATTTTCTATATATCGGTTGATGCTGGTGTAACTCTTACTACTGTTAAAGATTTCTGTGCAACCAGCGACAGACATAGAACTGAATTTAAAAAATGATTTCAGACATATTTCAGGCATTCATTCTGTCTGCCGTTGGTCCAAGAAGGACTGCAATACCTAGAGAAATCTATCCATTAGCATTCCCATTCATCTCAATGACAGTTTTTTGACTGGTGCGCTTGCTTATGTTTGATTATGGGTTCTTAGTGCCAAGTCTTTCAATAGTGAATATCCTAAGCTGTGTCATTAAAGGAAGCAGAAGACATAAAGTCCCATTATGTTTCCAAAAACAATCGGTCAGCATCAAAACATCTACTAGAATTCAAGGTTTAATATTTAAGAATATTTTTCATTTTAAATAAACATTTTTAATATAATTAATATTAAATAATAATTCCAATCTGTATGTCCCATTCCTATGGAAGCCCATTTCCGCCACTGAATAATTGTGAGTTATAAAGTCAGAATTGGGATATATAAAGTCACAATTGCGAGATAAAAACTAGTTTATAGCTCACAATTCTGACTTTTTTTCTCGCAATTCTGACTTTTTTTTCTCGCAATTGCGAGTTTATATCTCGCAATTCTGACTTTTTTGCGAGTCTATATCTCGCGATTCTGACTTTGTAACATGCAATTGTGAGTTATAAAGTCAGAATTGCGTGATATAAACAATTGCGAGTTAACGTCCAATTTTGAGGGGGGGAAAAGATCTCACAATTCTGACTTGGTTACTCGCAATTGCGTGTTATAAAGTCAGAATTGCAAGATATAAACTCGCAATTCTGAGAACAAAAGTCAGAATTGTGACTTTGTCTCGCAATTGCGAGTTTATATCTCACAATTATGACTTTTTTACTCGCAATTGCGAGTTTATATCACGCAATTCTGAGAAAAAAAGTCAGAATTGCGAGTTTGTATCACGCAATTCTGAGAAAAGAAGTCAGAATTGCGAGTTTGTATCACACAGTTCTGAGAAAAAAAGTCAGAATTGTGAGATAAAAAGTCGCAATTACCTTTTTTATTCAGTGGCGGAAACGGGTTCCATACATTCCTGCTGGTTACTGACAGGTAAAGTGGAACTTTCGAATGTTAAATTAGACCGTTTGCTCTTGTAATTGTGTAGTTTCGTAATCGACCAGCAGGTGCTTAATTGGCCAGTGCTATCCAGCCAAACTTTGACTACTTGATTCACTCAAACAGATTGCATTCCCATTTAGTGCCGCTAATGTGCACTTCACCTTCAAGTCACTTGTTTATTTTACTAAATGTAATTAAAATACAAGCTTCTTATTAAAATCTTTACAAAACAAACACAAACATCACAGCTGTGAATGCTGACAGACGTGTGTGTGTCCCAGCAGCATACCCAGCGCCAGGCTCCACAGCTTCCAACAGGTTTGTCGGCATCGGATCACGGGACAACAACTTTCTGAACATCCCACAGCAGACTCAGGTACATGCATACATGCAGATTTACTTTAGGGACATGTGTGGCATGCTGTTGATTAGCTTACCACTGATAATGTGTGCATAATCAAATGGGAAACATGTTTACAGTAAATACAGTTTTAATTGAAGCTTAGCAAGCAAGCCGCGGAGCATTTTGTCCATTTCTATTTCACTCAAACACAAATACGAGCTGCTGCACATTTTTGCGTTCAGACCCTCGGGCCTGTTTGTCTGGTAGGCTTCCACTGAAAGTGTATTTACTGTAAACACATGTCCTGTTTGTTTATACACGCTGAGGGAGGAGTCTGTGCTCATCAACAACATCATGCTAAAGATGTGGTGCGTAGACATTAAGTCGAAAATACCCTAGAATACTTCTTTAAATGGAAAATATCAGCCTTTTCAGTTCATCCATCAATCGGGTGTTTTTGATCAGCGAGTATTGTGGGTCTGAGCGTTGTTAAGTGCATGTGGTTGGTAGCAGTCAGCGGCTCTCTGGGGGTTTGCTGAGGGACATGCTGATCATCTCAAATGGATTTTGTGGCTGTGTTCCCACTCGCACCAGCTACAAAAACCACAAGCACTAACAATAAGACCGTACATATGGAAACAATTGTTTCCTCCTCCTCCTCACTGATTCCAAAACCAAATGTCTTATGATTCATCAGATTTATTATGTAAGAAAGTAAGTATGACTTTACAGTGTCTTCTTTTTTCTGTCATAAAGTCCTGCATATACATTTACACATTTGCAGCGTCCAAAATGTACTTTTTGCCTCATCTGCTAATGGCAGGTTAATCAAATTAATGCATCCTTGCTGAATAAAAGTACTAATTTCTTAAAAAATAAAATCCCAAAATTTTAAATGGTAGTGTTTAATGGTATCTTACTAAAGATATGATACATTTATTTTACCTATAGCTTTGTAATTATTGAATGACAGCACAGATTAATGTGCAGCTCTAATGTATATGAGATTAGCCAGTCTCCATCTCTTGGTTAAACACCACCTGTCACAAAAATGTAAAGACCCTATTAGATTTGGTTTGTGTTCTTGTCTTGGTGGCTTATTGCAAAGAATATTCCACATTGTATGCTGCCACATGGAGTTCTGGAGGGAAAAAAAGACTTTTAGATTCATCCTAGTAAACTTCTGATTACAACATTTCCACTGAGGGAAAAAGTTGTTAGAAGAGAAAAGTTGTTCAGCGAGGGTCATTTGTACTATCCTCTGACTGATGAGTAAACCATTTTTACATTTTTCAGATGGATGTGCTGTGACGGACTGAGCATTGGTCTAGTTCACATGGGTTAAAAGTAGTTTTAACATGCGATTCTATGCAAGAGAGAAAGTCTGACATACTGAGGAAAGAGAGAGAGAGGGTGTCACGTCCCGACTGTCTGGTTGCCCTCAGCAACCAGACATGATGTCATAGCTAGTTAACAGGAGACAACTTAAGAAAATGGATGGACACCACTACTGAGGATTACAGCGAGAAAGAGACAGAAAGATAATATAAGTCCCGCAGGGATCCACAGATTTTTTTTTTTAGAACTTTTAGTGAGTCAAACATCAGCGAACTTCTTAAGTCAAGTATTTCTCTCTAGATACCATACTAAAACCAGCAGGGGACAATGTTAGCTTTGTTTAAGCATTCATTTTGCCGGGGGAAGCAGTGACACTGAGATTTCTGAGCTGGTCTGTAGTAGTAGTGTGAGTGTTTATATTGTGTCCACTGTACTCTAGTGGTTATTCTGAGAACTGTCACTTTCAAAAGTTGGTCAAAAAAGTCTCTTATAATCACCAAGGCTGCATTTATTTGATCAAAACGGCAGAAATAAATGTGAAAAATGATTAATTTCAAATAAATGTTTTCTATTCATGTGATGCAAAGCTAAATTTTCAGCATCATTACTCCAGGCTTCAGTGTCACATGATCCTTCAGAAATCATTCTAATATGCTGATTTGATGCTTGAGAAATTATTATTAGCAAGATAGAAAACAGTTAATATTTTTAACTGTTTTAATATATTACTGCTTAATTTGTTGGTGAAAAACTTGCTTACCGGCATTATAAAAGTCTGTACTGTCACTTTTGATCAATATAGTGCATCCTTGCTGAATAAAAGTATTAATTTATACTCAAAACTGTGTCCAAACTTTTGAACAAAGTCATTATTTTCTGAAAACTCTCCCCTCAAATCCGTCCACTGTATATTCCAAATCTCATGCAAGTCTGTATATTCACATATTGCACACTTTTAACATCAAATAAATTCTGATAAAAAAAAAATTCAATGGAAGAGAGAAAGTTTTAGGACATGAATTTCCCTGTTTGAGCAAACAATTTCTATATTTTTAAGAGGAATTGGATTGAAAACTCATTTACTCAGTCATTTAAAATGTGGTTATGAAACATATTAACTAAGGTTATTTTTAAAATGACTCGCATTTCTTTCCTTTTCTTTCAGTCATGGTTCCTTTGACGAGACTTTTCATAAACCACACAGACACAAATCCACAATGAAAACTGGAAATGGAGTCACAAAGCTAAGTATGGAACTTTCCCACACGCCCCCCTGTAAAGTCTCTCTCACACACAAACACACGCACAAATACACACACCATTCCCCCAAACGATGAGGGATCTGGAAGACTTCAGCATTACCCTGCTAGTCTGGACAGCTCGGAGAACCAAACAAAGGAACGACAAACCGACGTCTTCGTCGTGTTCCCGAGACATCCAGCACATAGACCAATCCCGTCTACCTTCCTTTAATTTGTTCATCCGCCAGTCATATGCCATGGTGAGGAAATCCATCTCTTCCTAGTCAGAACTCTATTCAGAAATTGAAATCATCGAAAAGGGACATTTGAAACGGACATGTAACCTGGATGATGTCAGACGCGTGTGATTGGATGGAGAGACTTGGCTGGAGCCTTCTGATTGGCTCAGGCTTACACTTCCTAATCTGGATTTGCTGATTTTGGTGATGCCCTCCAGTGCAGTGTGAACTCGGCATCCTCTCACTGTTTACCAGTTGACCAGCAAAACAACAGATAACACTAACCGAGTGCAATTCACCTAAAATGTGATTAATGATAAGGGATGACAGAAGCTTTGGCCTTAGATTTGCGATGTGGAGTCAGGCTACATGTTTTGTAAGGTAAAACACACACAGATGAGTTCTAGCAGAGCAATACACACACGTCAATGACAGCACTACACAGCATAATATATAGAGACAGCTGATCACAGGAATGGGAAGGGTCAAGCACGAGTGACTTTAATGTCAAGCTTGTGACTCAACGAACATTTTTCATTTTGTAGTGTTTATGAATTAAAAGGCCAGTGATTTGAGTCATAAAACCGGTTCGCATGAACTAACGAGGGTTTTGGCGCATCCGTCGCTGACCTCTTCGCTAACATCGATCAATTGGAGTGCTTGTGCATCATATCATATATCCTACAGTCAGCCCTGCACACAAGGGCTTCTACTTTACTTTATGCTTGGTTTTGCAGTACTTTTTTTTTGTTTTGTGAATGTCAAAAAAATAAATAAAAAATTCAGGTCATATATCACCCCAAAAACAAAATTCAAAAATTGTATTTTGAAAACAAGACAGAAATATGATTTTTTTTTAAAGCGTATTTAATTAATAATTATTTATTGTGAAATGGTCATAATAACGAAGCCATTTTTTCTGAAATTCTCATGCAAAAAAATAAATAAATAAATCAAACAATTAAAAAATAATAATAAATAGTTATTACAATTTAAATTTTTCATCCATAATTTACTTTTACTAATTTACTAATGAGAATTATGGATGAAAATGCTTAATTGTCCTAAAAAATATTGTCACAATGCAAGCAATCTCAGTGACCCAAAAATAGGCTTCAGTTTCATTTAAAATATTATTTTTTTAATATATTTATTTTGATTCTGGAATGTGACCTGGATGTGTTTTTGTGACATTCACCCTTAAACTTGTGTTTGTTTTCTGGTTTTGTGCGATTTTAGTTTGCATAACATAGCCGCTTCTGCTCCGGCAGATCGGACTGCATGTGGAATTGTGCTTTTTTGTTTTTAGAGTTACAGGTTAAGATCAGCTCTCCTTCAACTAGAATGTTACTAGCAAACAGACAATCTCAAGTTTTCCTTTTGGAGCTTCATTAATTAGATGTTTTTGATGGCTATTATGTTGACAGTGCTCTGCCCTTCCATCACTTTACAGTTCATTCATAAATTTACCGCTTTTTTTCCCCTCCACTGCTCAGTTGTTCGTTTCAGTTCACCGGTACAGCCTGACTCGCACGACAATCTAATTTCATTTAGCCTATCAGCACAGTGCTCAACTAAAGTACATACATGCACACATACACAAACATTGCACTATGACACACACCCACTTCCTTAAAGGACAAAGGGAAACCTTTAAACTCAAATCCCTCTATCAAACATGATTTTACAACATGCACCCTATTTAAAGTACAGCATGTTTCAATTTTAAATGAACTCGAAAAAGAGAATGCTCGAAAACCACTGACCTCACTAAATAACTGGACTGCCTGGCTGTCAATCACATTGTCAGGAACTCTGATTGGCTGAGAGCTGACCATTTCATCATCCACTTGAAACATATCAAAGTGCCTCGGTGTCCCCTTTACATGCAATTCAGGGTCTTCACTTCATGTATAAGCTAGAGAAAATATGTACAATATGTATCATGGGCTTGGCAAACAACATATGAGCAACTGCAAACATCATATTTATAGATAGATGTTATCCAGAACATATCGTACTCATACTGTGTGTGTGTATATATATATATATATATATATTAGCTCTATGGCAGTCTAGTTATTTTTTGACCTTTGACCCGAGTCAGTGATGTCATCGGAAAACGTCCAAACATATGAAACCCACAAACGTCAGATCATCTCGTCAGAAGCGCCAGAACTGTCGTATCAGGTCAGTGCAGACACAAATACACCTTCAGAACAGACACCAACTTTTCAGAGAAAACACATTCTCTTTGTTGAAAAGTGTTATTATTGAGAGAGAGAAAAAAAAAGTTTTATGTGGACTGAGCCGTGTGCAATGTGTTGGGTAGATATCTGTGTTTGACTTCAGATTTTTAAGAAAGCGAAGCAAGTGGAAAAAAGACAAAACAAAAAAAAAAAGTCTGCAAGCTCCTGGACTCTAAACACGAGGGCCACAAAAAGAATCCCAGTCTTTGTAAGCGTTAAAGGCGGGAAGTTAATTTTACTTTTCATTTATCTTTTTTAATGTTTTATTTGTAAACTTTGGTTTTTAAACTATTTTAGGGGTGGGGGCCGAAGGAACGATTTTACAAAAGCAAATGTATTATGACAAAAAAATAAATAAATAAAAATACTGGTGCTTCTGTTACTCAAGCGGAAATAATACCACACCAGAACGACTGTTTCTGACGAGACAAGTTTTACAAGCCTGTGTTTCTCTCTTCTTCTCTTTTGTATTTACTAAGGGGGTTCAGATTTTTATATATATATTTTGGTTCTGACAAAAGGCATTTTACTACAACCTTTAAGAAAGCAATGCCCCTTCTTACTCCTTCAAATGTCTAGATAAATGGTGCATTCAAGTTTGTCGGAAAGATTGGATTTGAGTTGAACGCACATGAACGCCGCAATGAATGCAGCATCTGTAATTAGCGGTAAGGTTGTTTAAAATGTACGAAATTATGTTTTTCATTTACAATAAAGTTGCGTAATAAATTATGATCGTAATCCACAGTTGCGATATAATGCATAACAATTGCACCTTCATAAATTGAATAAAAACTTTAAAAAAGCACAAATATACCTGATGCACATTATTTGTAATTTTGCAGTTAAAAATGACTTCGCAACTCATAAATACAAACTTTCCAGGAGGACTTGAATGCACCAAAATACCTGATGAATATGCAGAAAAGCGTGTTTTGATTGGAGGAATGGCCCAAATGAAGCATCGCAACTAGAGGGTTCGTCACAAGCAATCAGATCACATTTGCTCCAAATCTCTGCTTCATTTAGATGAGATCGTGTCGATGTTAATGTGAGTAGGGTTTCGTTAGTCGTAGTTTAGAGCACACAAGGTTCTAGTCGAGAGGCAAAAACGCGTCTGGAAAAACGGCTGCCCTGTATTGTCCTGGAAACACTTCCTGTATGTAAATGAGCTCCCATAGTGTTCGTGCTGTAGTGTATAGGTGAGCATTTAAAGGTTGTCCCATTCAAAGTGCCTTTTGTTCACAGACACCATCTTGTAAATGATGAACACCCGTCTCTCCTTCTCCTGAGCTTTCTCAAGCCGTATTCACAGTATATAGTACTACAAGAAAATGGATGTGATTTCGTTCTTTTTATTGTACAATGATGGGAAAAAAAAAGTTAAAAAGGCAAAAAAACAAAAACATCGGGTCCCTATTTCTCTGTACCTCTGTCTTTATCAGTCTCTCGCTCTTGGCGCCGTAGATGTCTATCCTTATCTTTCCTCCCTCTCCCTACTTTTGATGAAAGAGTTGGAAAAAAAAATGTTGAACCTTTTTCTCTTGAGCAAGATGTTGTAAACTCTAATGTTGTATCCCTGTCTGTATGCTTCACATGTTTATATCATACACACCACTCGCTCTTTGGTCAAACGCAGTGGGCTCGGAGTACAAACTGACCTGGGACCGACCCGCTCGCCCTCCTTACATCTGAGACCAGCAGTACCGGTGTGTCTTGGGACGCGGTGCGGTCCTGGTGCCAGATCTGTTTGGCTGTCGGTGGAGAGCGCTGGACCAGAAGATGCACAGTAGCTCTGTCGTGTTTGTTTGTGTTGTATTTATTTCCGTTAAGTCTCGCTGTTGACTCCGCAATTAAAGCACCTTTTTAGTGGTTGTTTGAGAACAGCTGTTTAAAAAACTTGACTGATGATTTGCTAATCGCACCTTATGCACCGATTAAAACCGTGCACTAAGAATAATATGCCCTGCATTTAGAAGTACTGATCCAGATGTGGCGGCAGCTTTGTTGTCAGTGGTTGGACTAGTAATAGATAGACTACATGTTCAGTCCCAGCTGCTCCACTTAAAATACTTCAACCCGTGCATTTTTTCTAAGCACCATATTAATCATTATAGTAGATGTTTCAGCAGTGAACAATTTTTAGTGGATGTAGAAATAGACGAGCATAAATGTTGCATAAAGGATGATAACGATAACTACAAAGTTTTAATAATCATTATAATTCTATACGAATAGAGAAGTCCGCAACGAGACAGAGGAAAGATATTGTTGGAGTCACTTTCAGAACATTTGTTTTCCAGCTAATGAACAATAAAAACATTAACAGCCAATCAGAGTCCATCCTTGATGATTTAAAGTGGAAGATGACAAAACTAGCCTATAGCATGCACTTTATTGGTGCGTTAGTGTAGATGCTAATATAGTTATTGTTCTTGGTGTGCCAGTCAAGCAACTGCCATTGAGATGCTATGCATGTAGAGTATGACACTTTGATCATCTTAATTAAAATAATCCATTGATATTTTAATTAATGTACATTACTTTTTACATGCACACCATGCTGAAGTGATTAAGAGTCAGTAGCATTAAAATCAGAATTATTAATTTAATCATTCAGAATCTGCCCCGATTTACTCATGCTTATGAAGCCGTACGCGTTTTTTAAATATCTACCCGGATTGTGTCTGCTGTCGATGTGTTTTGGTACAGAAGCGTCTCTGATCCAGCGCTCTCCGTCGCTGCGCGCCTCCACAGAGCCTTTGGCAATCTGCATGTTATTTACAGATTCTTTTCCATTATAAAAACTAAAATGTTTGTAAAGAGCAGCACCTGATTGAATAAATAATGTTCTTGACTGTACAACGATTCTGATATGGGTTTGTTTTATGGTGAGAAACTGACGCCACTCTGAAACTTTTCTTTGCAATAAGATTTTATTGATCCCAGGGGAGTTCAAGCTATAGTAAAATCAAATGATTAATTACTAACAAACAGGCCTACATGGAATCTGCATCCACACAGCTCTGCTGATTTCCACCACATGTTAATACATTGAAGAATTTAATAATACATTATTCAGCAATGAGAGCATTGCATTTAACAAAAATGACCATTTATTTTGAAGACTAGGTCAGACTTCATGTAGGCCTGCTGATAAGTAAACAAGAGTCTACTGTCTGGCAGTTTGGCTACTACATTACAAAGGAGCGTTTCTTTGCTATGAGCGAAAACAATGTAAAGTTGAGTCGCTGCCGAAGGCTCTTTCCCTCTGCTGCTGAACTTGCTTTAAGAGGTGAATGTTACAAGACTACTCTCAATACATGAACAGAGGAACCCATTGTCAGCTTTACACCAATATGATTCAAGAAAATCTCTCTTTGACGGGACTTAATCTGGTGGAGTATCATCATGCTGTAACAGATCTCTGCTTTTGGCTTCTGAAATGCAGTGAGCTCTAGTGCGCCAAAAACCTCTTGCTGGTCCTCGT